CCCATTAAAAGGTCCCAGGCAATAGCACCAGGCCAAGGGAGTGAGGGTAGAAAGGGCAAACAGACATGCAAGGGGCTCTGTGGGTGGCAGAAGCTCCTTGAGGTGGGCTCAGCTCTTCCCTGCTGTGCCTGGCAGGATTTGCTGTTGCTGTCCTGTTTTCTAAAACTTTTAAGGGAATTTCTGGGCCAGCTGGATGTGACCAGAGCTGGGGGACAGCCAGCCTCAGAGGGTAGCTGTGGCATAGCTGTCACTGACATCTCCCAGGCCAACCCCATCCTGGCCCAGCACCTCCACACATTTGGGCTTTGGGAAAACCACCTCCCCCCCAAAAAAAAAAACCCCACAGCCCAGGGTCTGAACACCTTCCTCTCTAGCAAACCCTCCGAGCAATACCATAGGAAGGGGCAGCCATTGTCCCACCATGCACATCATCCTCACCCCCTCCTCTTCCTCCCTAGAATCACAAGGAATCCAAGATCACTGTCTTCGAGAAAGACAACTTCATCGGCCGCCAGTGGGAGATCGGTGATGACTACCCCTCGCTGCAGGCCATGGGCTGGGCCAACAATGAAGTGGGCTCCATGAAGATCCAGTGCGGCGCGTAAGTGACGGGCAAAGGGGCACGGGCAGCAGAGACAAGCCACTGCCATCGCTGTGCTGCCACGGTTGGAGGGGGGACACCCCGTAACCCCCTTACTTACCTCTTAGAATCTTGTCCCCTTGCTGGCCACTTGACAACTCCTTTTCTTCCAGATGGGTTTGCTACCAGTATCCCGGGTACCGTGGCTACCAGTACGTCCTGGAGTCCGACCACCACGGAGGAGACTACAAGCACTGGAGAGAGTGGGGTTCACACGCCCAGACCTCCCAGATCCAATCCATGAGGCGTGTCCAGCAGTAGCTCCCCATTTTCCAGTCCATCTCTGCAAGGTTTCTAAAGCTCACCAGCTCCCTTTTGGTGCTAATACTCCCCTCCCGAAATAACCACCCCTTCTTGTACTGCAACTGCTTATGGAACAACACTCCCAAACAGTACCAACTGCCACAAGTGCCAATAAATGTGACTGAAAGAAAAAGATAAACTGGCTTGGTGGGTGTTTGCTGTTGTGTGTTTGGGATTGAAGTCACATCCCCATCCCAGTAACAGGGACCAGACTCTTTCCTGCCTATTTTAAGCAGGACCAAAGCCCTCTGGGGCTCACACCAAGGCACTAAGTTCATCTCCCAACCATCTCACACGCACACACACAGCGGCCAAATCCTCAGTCACTGCAGATCTGCAGCCATCTCGCTTCCCTTCCTCCCTGCCCTCCCTTTCTCCAGCCAAGGTGAAGGACACCATGCTCCCAGCCCCCCGAGCTGGACCAGGACCAGGCACCCAGGTACACACAGCCACGTGGGTCACAGGCTTTGCAGCCAGTGGTGCCAGGCCTGAGGGACCAAAAGTCACGTTGTCAGCCACGCAGTGTCCCCAGGGCCAAGGGATTTTGCTCCCTGAGAGCGCAAAAAAAGAAACGCACGCCGACACCCACAAACTTTAAAATTTTTATTCAACAATTTACATCACTTATTGTCTGTCTTAACGTATTCGATCTACACAAATTTATTTTTTATTTTTTCCTGATAAAATAATAAAATTTGGATAAATTTTGAAGACCTGTTGGTGCAGAATAAACAAAATTTCAGGTAACTTTTTTTTTTTTTTCTTTTTTAAACATTTAGTGTGAAGTATGACATCATTGGTAAAGATACATCATGCCATTACAGCTCATGGACATTACCTATCCTTACAGTCCGTGACATCACCCATACCAGCGCAAGGGGCTGCGCCAGACACAGCTACAGCAGGTTATTACACTAACTCTTCTAGCCACCCTCTCACGACTGGGGAAAATGCCTACACTTTTCCAGCTAGGCACACAGAGTGCATTAACCTAATTGGAAATATTGGGGAGGGGAGAAGAAAACAAAAGACTACCTTTAGGGATCCGTGTGGTCGCACACTATAACATCGACAACAAAGAGGGGCCGCCCCTCTCCGCGGGTCAGAGGTAATTCAGCTCCTGAGCAGGTAGAGCACAACCCCTCGCAGCGATTTTAATACACACCAGGAAATCGAAGGAAATGAGAACTTATCGACGGGGAGGGTGGGAGAGGAGACGGCTCCGGCGGCTCCGCCTGGAAGGGCCTCTCCCATCGCAGCTCACGGTTGGTTTTCGCACCTCCCTTAACCCTGAAATATTCAGGGAGGGGGAGAGAGGGGCATCCGTCCCCCCAGTAAACAAGTCGAGGACCTTCAGAGGCTCGCAAGCCGCTGAAGGTGTGTAAGTACACGTGTGATGGTAGATAGAAAAGCAGCCCTGTTCTGTATGAAAAAAAGCTGTCAAGTTAGTACAAATTTCTGCCATGGCGAAGGGAACATGAGGAGAAAGCTGTCAGGGTCCTTCTCCCATCACAAAATCCCGACTCTCCTGCACAAAGACTCTGGGCTAAGCAACACATTTCTAAAGGTGGTACCTGCAACCCAATGCACCCAACTCATGAACACAAAACCAAAAGGAAGCTCTCACCCGGGGCAGGAGCCCACCCTCCGCTCCAGCAGGCCATGCACTACGCAGCAGGGACAGCGAGGAAGCCTGTCCCTCCCGCCTCACAGTGGCAATACGCAACAGGAAGGTTTCTCTTCGGTTAATTTTATCACTAGAAGGCTTAACTTTGCCCACAGCATCAGCCTGCAACTGATCTCCATCCCCTCCTCAAAGCTGCTTCGCACGGGGCCGAGCCTCACGCTCCCTGTCCCTGTCCCCACCCCTGGTGGGACGCTGGCGGGTACCACCGCCGTGCTCTCAACCGGATAAAAAAGGGCACTCGTTCATCCGACAGCACGAAGCTTATCTGAAACACAAGCCAGTACACCCCGCTCCCTCTAATTCAATTACTAAAGTAGGCTCTTTAAAATAAAAAAATAATATATATATTTATATAACTATACAGAGAGATACAGAGAAAGCAAAGGGGAGAGATAGGCTACTAAAAAAATCAAGAAGCGCCAGTTTTCTGCTACAGCTGTCAGCAAAGAACTGTCACCTTACATCATACCCTCCGAGATGGTGAAGATAATGCAGGCAATGACAGCACAGGAATGCAAAAGAGGGCAGATAAGTCACTTCTGGTAATGAGACACAAATTAAAACTTTCAAAACATGTGCATAGCTTTATTCAATCTGCTTCAAACTAACCTTTTCACGGAGCTTCAGCGAAACCCGAGTGTGCAAAATGCATTTCTAGGAAATAACGCAAGCAAGCTTTCACATTTACAGTGGCAGAAGCACAGACAGGACTCGGACAGAAATCACACATTGGGGCGAGTGAGTCGGGAGAGAGATGAAGACACGAGAATTGCACTGACTGCAAACATAAGCGTTTCTATTTCGTTAACTTTAAGCAAGGCGTGATTACTTCTCCTTTACAAAAAAAGAATAAACAAAAAGAAAAAACCCTACAGGAACAAGAATCACAACCTGGAAGGGGAATAACCCCCCCTGGGTAACGGGGTCCCTGGCACCACAGAGCCCTAACTCCAGAGCACACATGCTGCAGACCGTCGCATGTTTTCCCTTTGCAGGTGAAGCGTGGCAACGCTTATTTTTGTCGCAGGAGAACAGCAAAGGAGCTTCTCTCTCTCCCCTCCACTCCCTTCCAAAGCCACAGAAAACAGCTTGTGTTAAGAAAGGAAAGGTGCCACCCCACAGGACATCATCCCCAAACTGTAAAACAGCCACTACACAGCTCCTGATGGGTCACCAGGGACAGTGACAAACCCTCAACTGTTGAAGGGGGACGGTCATCGCGCTGCCAGCCAGGACCCGGCTGTCCCAGCAGCTCACACATCACTACAAACTCTCCTCAGCACCACCAAGCACACACGCAAGGCACATTGAGTTGGATGTACACACACTGTGTGTGTAAAAGAGCAAACGCTGGCCCAAAAAAGGAAAAAAAGAAAAAAAAAAAAAGATGCTGAATAAAGCAATGAAACAGGCAGCGAGTTCTGGCCTACAGTATTTACACACAACTTCCCAGGCAGCTCTAATCCCTGACTGTTTTTCCTACACAACTTTAGACCTTCCTTATTCTTCCCTCGCTTTACAGAGGTACTTTATTTTCCTAAAGGATCTTTTATAAATAGTCAAGTAAATTCCCTTCCCTCCCCCCCCCGCAGTGAAGCCCTCTGTCACAGCACGCATCCCCCCGCAGCGGTCCAGGTGTGACCCACTAAGAGAAGATGCTCTGGACCTGCCCGTGCCCTGCGGCAGCACCTCAACGCAGCCAGACCTCCCTCCATGACTCCCTAAGCCATGGGCTTTCACACCTCAGACGTCAGGTTTCAGCTGGGGTGATGGCCTGGAATGGCTTTTTCCTTGGAAAACATCCAACTCCAGGTACCGACCGCTCCTCAGAACCCGAGGGCAGCTGGAGAAGGAGCAAACTGCTCCCCAAGGGCGGGAAGGAGGCCTTGCAATCTTTAATACTGCTGGTTAACTTCACATTGAGATAAAGCCTTAAGATCTTTTTGCAGAGATGAGCTATTTCCTTCCAAAGATTGAAAGAGAAAATAAAAATATTAAAACCAGAGACAAGAGAAGAGTTGATGGAGATTTTTTTTCTACCTTACACATTACTCAGGCATCCTCCCTGCACCACCAGCCACGGAGGAAGGAGAAGTTGAAAACCTCAAGGGATTTGCACTACCCCTTCCAATAGCAGCTTGAGAAAAGGAAGGAGAGAGAAAAAAAAAGAAGAAGAAAAAACAAAAGCACAGTGTTCTCTCAAGTTCAGAGTTCTCCTTTGCTTGCGTTTGCATAGAAATTCCTGTAGGTCAGCACCAAAATCAGGTACACCCCTCTCCTACACCCCAGCTCCCCCAGTTCCTACGCTACCCGCAGAGTTAGTGGCTGTTGTTACAGGAGGGTTCAACTATCCGCAGAGGAACTACGTGGTCATGTAAAAAAAACAAACCAAACCAAAACAAAAAGTGCATCACACATTCTTGATTTTCAGGGTTACTTATAGCAGCAGCATTAATCCAAGACAATGAACAGTTGTAGATTCATTCTTAAATGCAGCAACACTTAATGAAATGTCTTCAAGGAAGGTCATAAGAAGGTCCTTCTCAAAAGGATAAAATGAAAATTAGACTATTCAATATAGACAAAAGGGAGATAAAACAAAAATTAAAGACACCATCTTATTTACATTAAAAAAAAAAACATTCTTGTTAAAATATCTTTACAACACCTAAGCAAAAAAAAAAAAAATATGTATTTTAAGAATAAAGCGGAAACTCCTAAAGCAGTATCCATTTTTGGAACCCTTATTTAGCACCTGAGGAAAGACCATATGGAAAGCAGACAGGGGTGGTTTTTTTGTTGTTTTTGTTTGTTTTTTTAAGAAAACTTTAAGTTCTGTGTTTGCTAAACGTTCATATGTTCAAAGTACACAAGTTTCATACCACAGAAAGAAATGAACTATATATATATATTTTTTTTTTTCTTCTTTTTAAAGATAGTCTACTCATTAATAAGGCTGTAGAAAAGGGATACTGCTATCTTACAAAATGGCTTTAGAGCTCTGGACATGTTATACGAAGCTTTCTGATTAACAGTCAAGATAAATACAGCTCAGCATCCCCTGGGGAAAGCACACGTAGGACTTTTCTTCCCGTCCCAGGACTGAGAGCATCCCAACACCCCCGGCAGCGTGTCTCTGAGGGTCTCACACCCCCAACACAAGGCCACCACGGAGCTCTCATGTGCCTCCCCAGATGTCCACTGCTTCGGTGTTCTGCTGCTGAGCAATGCCACTTTGGAGGATCTCGAGCAGGACACAAGGAAGCCAGCCTTACCCTGTGGTGGAACACGTATTGTGCAAATGTCTAAAGCTCTGTCATCACTGGAAGGTAGCATGTCCGGCCGTGCAGACCAAGATCTTCTGCTCCTTTGCACCAGTCCAGGTTCCTGCTTCTCAACTGCTTGCCTGAGGGTCCTTTCTGCCTGGAAAAAATGCTCTCGTGGTGGCCAAAGCCAGAATTACTCTGGCTTCTTCACCTATTCCACCACACTAGAGCTCTTCCAGCCCCAGCCCTCCTCCTGCCTTATGCACCGGTTTGAAAATGTGTAGCAGCTTTAAATTAGGTATAGCCTCGTTCTCTCCCCTCCTGACCTCGACCATCTCCCTTGTAAACAGCCTCTGTAAGGAAAACAAATCACTACGGACGTACATACAGAAAAATCTTCTAGGGACGAGACTCCTGAAAGCTTCGACCAAGCAATTAACTGAAAATGCTGAATCAAGAGCAAAAACTAAACACACAGAAAAACTAAACTACCAGCAGTCCTGAAAGACGCCTGTGAATGCCATCGCTCCCAGATGTCCCTGAGGTCACCCACTGGCCACTTCTGGAAAGGATGCTATCGTGCTATGGTAACACTCTTGAAGGTGAGAAGTGACAATTACACATGTAACTGAGAGGACAACTTCTATATATTTTTTTTCTTTCTTTTTTCTCTCCCCCCCCCAAGCAGGAAGTGATATTCCTTTCGATTTAGCTAGCTGGTTCACCCATCACCTGCTCCCAGCTGCCAGAATAGCTGGTATCCTCCAAACCTAATGAGAACTGTTTGTTTTCTTTTTTTTTCCCCTCCACATTTCAAAGAAAGTCACAGCAGCTACAAAAGGCAAACAGTGGATTTACAGTTCAGAAAGGACCATGATTTGAAGTGGATTAGCACAGAAACCATGCCCTGGAGCTATACCCACACTGTCCAAGAGAGGAGAGATTCCTACACGCTGAAAACAGGTTTCACAGACAACCAAGGCAAGTTTAAACCAAAACCAAAAACTCCAACCAAACCTTGAAAGCCATCGTGTTGCCAATCCACAGGGCAGGTGGAGTGGGAGAGAGCAGAGAGGCTGAAGGTCCCCAAACCACTGTCACTGGGAGCACAGAGCGGCTTTTAAATCATCTCTTGGAGTGGGTGAAACACTCCCTGATCCACCAAAGAAAAAGCAGACCCTGGGCTGGATCTCTCCAGTGGTACAGACTCCAATGTTGGAGGAGACCCTGTACAAGAGACACCTGACAGGACCTGCTGGCAGAAGAGGAGTAGTGGGAAAGGACCAGAGGAGAAAGGAGACAGCCCCTGCCCCTGCAGGAATCCTCACTCTGATAAACAGACAGACTGGCAAGGGAACCAGAGGAAAGGGACTTGTCAGATCCACAATGGGAACAGAAATGGGAGAGAAACCTTAACCTGAATTAGTATCTTCATAGCTAATAAAAAAAATAGGTCATGATCTCACCCTTAGTGCCACTTTCTGATACTACACATTTTAAGGGTTTTTGTTTTAAAACTTTACTCAGTGTAATGAAAACAATGGCACAAATAAATATACGCTCGCTCTCCTCAGGCGAGCGAGATGCTCGTGCACACACACCAGCTCCTCACCCCTCCACACGCACAGACACCCTCGGGTGCAGACCCAGGAGGGGAGGCTGCTGCACCCCTTCCCAGGCTGTATTTGGTTTATGCTACAGTACTAATACTCTGAGTCAAACAAAACAAAACAAACCCAAAACATGAGACTTACCAGCAACACCTTAGCATTATTTAAATGTGCTAAATTAGTCACAGCTCAATTTCAGATTCTTTTTTTTTTTTTTTTTATAAGTTTACACAAAAATAATCAGAAAACAGATTAAATCTTAAGATATTTTTAATAAGTGCTCAGTAAAGAATTGTGTGAGGACTTCGGGAGGACTGCAAATAGCGACAGGGCAAGTTACACAACGGCACGAGGAAGTTTCTTCCATGGTCCTGCCTGGCTCTAGGCAATAGTCTATCCCAGAAACATTGCCTGTGCCGGCGAGCCGGAGCTAGGGGAGCTCAGAGAGAGGATTTCCTAACTGCTTAGCATGTGGAGCTCAGGGAGACAGACAGATATCTGAAGAGAGGATGGTGAGGAATAGAGCAGAGAAGCTGAGAGGGTGTTTCTGGATGGGCACCAGCGGCACGAGGCCACACGCAGCGAGGCAAAGCAGCGGGGAGGAACATTGGGGAAAACCAACCCAACCCATCCCCTGAACCATCTTTCTTTCAGCATTTCTTTCACTATTTAGGAGACAGACTGGACTAGGTCAAGATGAGCGTCCTCAAATATTCAGCAAGACTTGGATCTTTCTAAACACCAAGGGTCAGATTCAGCACAGGTTATTGCTGTTCGGCTTCGGCATCGCGCCGGACCCAAGAGCAGAACTGGAGGCAGGGGGGGACCAGGACAGCACAGACCCCAGGTAAGCAAAACAGGGCTTGTTTTTGCCTTTTTTTTTTCCTTTTCTTTTTATACCTTTTTTTAAATGGAACCCAGCCCTTAAGGCGACAAGTGACTACACAAGGCAAATAAATACACAGCAGAGCCTTAAAGCCAGTAAAACAAACTGGAAACTTTGCTACTAACCTTCAACTTTTTGAAAATAATAACAACAATTAAAAAGAAAAGAACATTTTTTTTTTTCCCCACCTAAATCTTCCCAGCCCCACTGTCCAGTTTGTTCAACACTTTAAAGCTCAGGAAGGCCCCAGCTCTTCTGCAGCAGAGCCGGAGGCGATTCCAACTTTTGGCAAGCAGTTGGGAGACTCAACAGAATTAAAAACAGGAAAGTCTGAGGACTAGATGTCGGGCACATCTGTAAACATGTTATACATCTGCAAGTTACACACACCTGTCCAGGTGGTACAGTTTATAGGTGAAACAGAACAATTTGCGACTGGCCAACCACACATTTCTGAACCTGGACTGATACAAGACATGATTACTATATAGTATTACACTACAGTATTATACTATATAGTATTTTATACATAAAATGGAGTTAGGCAATCCATAGTCAAACTTTTAAAACTAAGCGTGGCAGAAAGCTATCAATCTTACAAAAAGGTACAGAATTAAGTTTCATTGTCCCACCATGAACCTAAGCGTCTCATTCAGGAACAATCTTATTAAAAGAATAAAAACAATTAAAAAAAACACATGCTACATACTCCTAATTAACAAAACAAAACAAAAAAGTGGATAAATCTAAGCACAAAGGGGTAGGCAAAAATTTTGGGCTTATCTGCTTCCTGTAATGCCCCATAGGGTCCAGTCTAATTTTAGGAGACACCAACTGCTGCTGCCCTTGGTGCCCAGATACACATCAGCCAGTATTCAGCCACAAACACCCATGATGAGCATTGGGTGCATGTGGAGCTTGGGTGGGTCAGAAAAACCCATTTTTGCTTCATTCACTGCTTGCTCTCGCACTGGACCTTATGAACTTTCCATCTTTTAACAAAACCCAGAAAAACTACCCAACCCCAAGATGATTTGGACGCGCTACACAAGCTGCAATGGGACAGAGCGGGTTACACAGCTGGAGCCTGCAGTCTGCTCGGCCTTCTCTACCACTGCTGGGATGGGAAGCAGCTTTCCTTTCCTTGGGATTTTTTTTTTATTTTTTTTTTTTTTTAATTTTTAAATTATCATTTTCATTCCTAAGTCCTCCATTTTTGTAATAAAATATATTTTTATTAAGAGATAATTAGAAGCAGAGCCCAGAAATACACAGACTGCATTAAAATATAAAAGAGCATTTCCAACGGGCAGGTGTGGGAAGCCCAGCCATTGGCATTCTATGGACAAATTGAAAAGGATTCAAATTCCCATTTTTCTTTTTCTTTTTTTTTTTTTTCCTTTTTTTTTTTTTTTTTTCCTTTTAATTTTTTTTTTTAAAGAGAAAAAAATAATTCCATAAGGGTGAAAGTCAGCAGAACTCACTTCCTCTTCAGTTTTCCAATGAAAATGGGAAAAAAATCCAGCACATTTAGTGTTAGGAGACAGACAGAGCAAATACGAAGCACCTACAGTTGAAAGCAGAAGATACCTTTTTTTTTTTTGCTCCCAATAATACAATGGCATTAAACTGTGGGAACAATGTTTTTTTTTTGTTGTTGTTGTTGTGGTTTTTTTTTGTTTCCTCCATATTAAATGCCTAAACAGATTGCTTATTTTTGCATGTTGCCTTTTAAAATGAAAAAACTCTTCAGTTGTCATAGTCCCACGTGTAACCGGAGCCAGGTCAACTGTATGACTTCACCATGCATCCTAGAACTGCAGTATTATCATCTTTTCCCCCAGAAGAATGCTGCTTTAAGACAATATCCCCAGCATAGAACTGGCTGCTTTACTCCTGGCAAAACATGCGGATTATAATTCTCTGGAGAAAAAAAAAAAGATAAACTCCGCAAACTTCAAGGCGTTTCTCCAGCATTCAATGAAAACAAAACAGAACAAAAAATTAATTAACCCAAATAGGGGAGGTGGAAGGGAAAGGGGAGATGAAGGATGGTGAATCATCCTGATTTCCCTGTGATTAGTGTGTCACTACAGTCACAGAACAAGAAACAGAAACCTTGTCAAGTGGAAATGCTTCTCCAGTGGGTTGCTGTTGCCCTTGTAGACGACAGCAGGAACTTTAGAACCGGGCTTGTAAATTGAGTCTGTATTCATTAATCTCTTGCATTCACTCTTTAAACAAAAAAAGAAAACAAAAAACTGAAAAAAATCTATTCAGTACCGGAGATTAAATAATCACGTGTGTAGTCTCGTTGAAATAAATTTTCAGATTCCTTAAGAGTCTAATTACTTTCAGTTGCCATTTTTAAATAACTATATATATATTTGTATATATTATCCTGTGATTCTAGTTATGGTTCCTCTGCTGCACTGAAGATTTAGAAGGAGCATAAAAGCCTTTTGTCCCCCACGAACAGCACAAATGCTGCAGAAAGGTTATAACAGGCAGTCTCGTCTTGCTACCTTCATTGATCCGGGCGATCCATGGCTTCATCGTAAATGATTATCCTTTTGGGATCTGGAAAGAAAGCAAAATCCTAAGTTTTTGACAAGCTACTTTCAGGACACGTGGCTGAAGACATTCACAAGAGATCTGCAAGGTACTCATCCGTTAATAAACTTTTCCTTGGGACCCCCAGTGACACCACCTCCTGCAAATGCAGTCAGGAGCCGTGGCTGAGCCTAACAGAGCAGAGCCAGCTCCCCACAGTACCCCCAGGGCAGCAGCACACCCAGCTCCACTCACCACTCTTCCCAGAACATCTTCACAGGTGAGGTGTGGGAGAGACCAGAACACAAAACTTACTCTAGGTGTGACACCCAGCACCAGAAATAGAAAGCAATTACTACATACGTACAGGGAAGACTCATTAAATCTCATTTGACACTGTTTTTATTGCTCTTTTAGAGACTCTGCTTCTTTCTGAACACCCCACCAGTACTTACTATCACAAACTTTTGGTGATTCAAACACAGATTGCAAACAGCAAGTGCTGAAGAACTCAACTGGGGTGTCTCTGGATGCAGAGACAACCCGCTCTCATCACCCATCCCAACAGACAGTGCAGGACAAAGCAACTTAGTTTATTTATTCTTCCCAATATCCTTACCTTGCTTCTGCAAATTCAAAACCGATTCCATTTCTGTGGAGGCAAAACAAGAAGACCATTGTTATTATTTATGCAGATTGATGCTGCCATTACAGACAACTCCAAACTTTAATTTTTTTTGCTTTAATTTTCCAAGCGTGGCACAACACCGCTGCAGTTGTGCCGAGGCTTTCAGACAAAGCCAACCCCATCCAGCCCACAGGACTGCACAAATTTTACATGAATAATCCAGCAATATAAGGCAGAGAGACGCTGTAACGTGGTCTTAAGGGTCAGATGGCCAAACTGAGCATCAGGAATGTCATCGCCGTTCTCCGCTCCTACAAATCACCATCTAACTTCAGGCTTTGCTACTCTGACTCCAACGCTGCTTCACACATTACAGCCTCAACAAGTAGCCTGGAGAGATGATTTTTATGAGTTGACACTTAGCTTGTGTGAAATCAGAACTGCTGGACAAAGCGAGATCCTCATGGTTCACAGCATGTATCTGCTGAAGGACACCACGCAAAGATTACTCTACCAACATCACCGCAAAACTGCTGCCAACACATCATCCGAGAACAAGGTGTGATGCTCCAGACACCCGGCTGCCTGCTTGGCTTGCAGTTCTTTCCCCAATTTACCTCTACCACACACTTGTGGGATAAAGACAAATAAAACTGTGCCCAGTTCTGGCTGAAAGAGCACATGGTTTTGTTTACCCAGGAAATAACAGCAAAGTCGAACGCTCTTTTAATTCACATGAAGAAACAAAAGGTTCTTCCCTTTAAAATATCCCCAAAATTAAGTCACATCTTCAGAGATCTATTCAAAATAACTCCATTTAGACACTGTCAAGTCAGAATTTTGCAAGCTAGAATATTTATAAAGACACTAAGTATACCCTGCACCCAAGTTTAAGGGACAAAATTAGAGAAAAGGAGCATCTAGTAGGAACACAACTTGCAGGAACAATCTTTCAAGTGTCCCCTCTGCCAGAAAGGAGGGTGACAGGACCTTGTAGGGGCTAGGAATGGAGAATGGCAACAGATTATTAAACTACAGGGCATGTGCAGTAAAGCACAAAACAAGGCAACAAGTAAACTAACCAGCAATGGGAAAGGAAGAAGAAAAAACCCTACAAAACTCATGGCCTCAGCATGATGTGTGCCAAGTGTCACCTCAATCAATCGCTTGCACATTCACGTCCCTTCTCCAACCCTTCATCTGTCCTTTGTCCGCTACAATCTCAAGCACCCCCGGGGCAGGAAATTGCATGCAAGTAAATATTGCCAGCCCTCTCGGCACAATTAAGCCTTTTGTACAGAAGGTCTGGGCAAAATTTTACAAGGTCTGTTATTTTTTTTCAGCATGATAACAGCAGCAATACTTTGCACCTTCACTGGGGGAACCCAAAGTGTTTTGGGAATAGTAACCAGCCCCTAAAACCCCCAAGGATATAAGCAACCCAGCATTATTTAGGACCAGCAAGTCCCTCATCCACCACATGCAGGTTCCCCAGAAGTAAAATGAACCAGCTACTAAAATTACCTCCAGCAGAGTTAGTTTTCCATTCAGTGAAGTTAGATGCATCATTTCCTAACGGCTAAAGAACATCCCCTGTTTTAACAGCTTTCCCCAAAGACATGGGACAGAAAACTACCCTCAAGTTGTTGCTTCCTCCACATCAGAGCCAACGTTTGAGCATCAAATAAAAGGCAGAGGCTGAAGTGCTGCCCACTACTCTATGTCCAGGCAACAGACTGTGCTTTCTTCTACACTTCCATTTGGTTCTAACTTCATCAGCCACCACAAGAATGGTAACTGCTTATATTAACATGTACCTGATAAGATAGACAGCAAGATGCTATGAAAAAAAAATATAAGAAACCTTTAAGTTGTCAAAATTCTGTAAAAAAAACCTCAAAACCCCATAAGAAATCCAACCTTAAATAATCTTCCTTCTTCTTCAGAAAAAGAGGTAGGAGAGAGGGTGGTATAAAGTGTCCTGTAAATCCCCAACACGGGGATGCATTGGCTGGCAGATGCTCAGCATGACAAATCTACAAAACCAAACAGCATCAGCAAACTGGCCATGACACTGACTGTTCCTGAATGTTGTCTGCCATCAGAAGAGCAAGTGCAAGGTCCTCCCCTCTACCTGGCCAGCAGCTCGTGTATACAAGATAGCACAGGTTAAGCACATTTACCAACTGAAATAACTTCACAGAGGAAAAAAAAGTCTTGGGCCAACTGTGACAAAAAACAAGGAAAACAAGAAGGTTTTCCTTCAATCTTAAAATGAGATTTTATGATTTATTTTGCTTTACTTGGTCATACATTAGAGTGAGTTTTCCTCCCAGCTCTCGATTGGTTACAGACTGTGGTCACTTATGATGATCCCGAGATGCTGTCACAAGTCCCAGTGGTTGGACAGACCTCAGCGACTGAGCTGACAGACTGGTAGCTCAACAGAGCCACTGTCACACCAGCCCCAGCTCCCGAGACAGCAAGCACAGGGATGCAGGGTGGAGGACAGGCAGCCTCCACGAGCTGGTCATGCAAGAGGCCCCAAACCTCCTTCCTTGGGTTCAAAGAGCTCTTTTCTTGATCCCGCTTTCCCTGGATAAAGCTTCCAGGGCAAGTTCAAGCAAGGACTCCTACCATCGCTCACCCTTGCATGGGACAAGGGGTATTCTCACCAAGTCTGAGTCCAGCCCTCTCAGATATGGACCCAAAACCTAGTACTGCCTCTTTCCAAAGTGGAAGAAGGTCAAGACCTGACCAACAGACAGGGGCCACCATTCCCAAAACAGGACACACAGCCGGGGAAAATGGCATGCTTCCTTCTCAGCAGACTCCAACTCAGCTGGAGAAAATGCCATCAACAAACCCTTGCACAACCTGGCGTCAAAGCCAGCCCTGCTCCGAGCCAGAGGCAGAACTAGGTCACCTCCCGTGCCCCTTCCAACCTCATGTTTTCCAGGATTTTTATAATTAGCTGGCCTCTCCACAGCCCTCTGGCTCACAGTTTGCTGAGGAATTGCTGAGAGCCTCAGTCACATCCACCTAACGAGTTCCAGGGAGAGGAACCACTTTTTCTGGAGACTATCACTGAAACAAAGGGTCAGTGGAGAAAGGCTTTGATGTCAGGAACAGACTAAGGCACACTCTGGTGAATTGCAGTGAGATTCCTCATAGGTCAATAAACTTTATAGCAGGATTGGTACATAACCTTGCAGGGGAAAACAAGTCCTTCTGTGATAACTCGTTAAGACAGGCACTTTTATACACATTTTCCTTGCTGGAGAGGCTGCCCCTGCAAACAGAAGTGTCTGAATAACGCCACCGTGCTAGTTCTTTGTGCTTATAAATCTAACATATAAACTGACAATTGTCCCTAAAATGAAGAGCTAAAAAAACCTAAACAAAACAAAACAAAGTGGGACCATCCTCGTCTGATTTTTCTGTTTCTATCTGCAGGACACAAGGATTAAGTTAGGGGATTGCCCTGGAACCAAAGCAAAGATTAAAAATACAGTGCTGTGGAGACTTATTGCTGTACCAAATACACTGTACCCATCCTGACAACTGCAAAAGGCAGAGACTTGAAGGAGAATGCAATCAATTTTTGCCTCACAGCTCAGGCCCCACAAGACCATAAGCAAAAGACTGAGATCTAACCCCTTCCCACCAAGGGGGATGGGAAATCAAGGCTTTTTTTTTCCCTCTCCTGATGTAAAGGATGAAAATTGCTGAATTCACAGCTCGGCTATTTCTTCTGACCCAGTTCACCATTCCGGTGAACGCCACTCCTGGCTGGCCCATGCTGCCTCGCTCTATTTTCCATGCTGCTCTTCTGCTTCTTCATGCGAGCAGAGATGCTGGTGCAACGAAGATGCTGAGAAGGGACAAAGCAGCAGCACAGGCAGAAACTTTGGGGACAGACAGAAGAGGGAAACACTGCAGTTTCCTCTCCTCCACCTATGTGCTCTTTGCTACTGTGCAGCTGAACTGGAGAGCTCGATTATTTGCTTTTTAGCTAAGGACAAGCAAAGTACTGAGCTGCCCACCATAAATCCTGCCAGAGAGAGCCCGGTGATGGTGACAGACACCACAGCCTGGAAGACTGCAGCTGCCTAAAGACGATGAAATTCTGCAAAGTGTGGACAATTACTCTGATATAAAATATTTCATCCAGCTGTCTTTAAAAGGAGGACTAAAGCAGTAAGATACTGATTTCGATATACGTAAAGCTGAGATACACCCAGTCTTCTCTTTTGAAGGACCAAAAAAAATCTGCAAGGACCAGTTTTACTTCAAAAAGATGAGGATTTTGGCAATGCCACACTGAGGTAGAATTTCCGTTCTGACCTAGATGGGGACAATGTCCCTAAGCAAGAGTATCACTCCTTCCTGGTCCTTCCAGTCTCCACACTAAGCTACCGTCCCTGTCTCCAACCACATAAACAGCAGGGCCACCAGTGCTCAACTACATCAGATCTACCTTGCTAAATCAGGTATGTCACCCCGGAGTGCTTCAAGGCACCGTCATAAACACCAAGCGGCACACGCTGTCAAGGGAGGCAGCCACAGTGAAGGATCCTGTTTTACAGTCAAGCAGATCAGATGATCATGGGAGTCTTTCAAAAAGAATAAAGCAAGGCAAGGAGCAGGGGCACAGAAGAAATCAGCACAAAAAGCATCCAAGAGAAGAGCAGGAAGGTGCATCAGCCTTGCCAGCACGTTCCCAGTGTCCTGACTTCTGGGGAAAAAGCAATCTGAGCACATGCAACCGAGCACAGCTTCTTCCACAAGGACCTTGCTCTGCTCTGCAGCCACCCAGCCGTACAGCCCAGCACAGCCTTGCCATCACACACAGGGCTGTGGTGGTTTAAAGAGGATTACAGCACCAGAGTCAGCCCACCCTGTGTGCTACCTCCTCCATCCATCCTTTCCCAGGGAAGCAGTGAAGCCATTACAATCTGTGGTAGCCCTTGTAGTCACTGGGCAAACCACACACAGGAAAAGCCTGGCTTGCTGGAACAAAGCTACTGAGTGAGCTGGAGGCTTTCCCATAGCTTATTTACAGTTCAAGATGAGGATCCACATAACCTAATCACAGCTACAGACACAAACAGTGTAAAAAAGGTGCCAGCTTATAAAACACTGAAGGTTGAAGCACTGGAACTGCTCGTGCTAGAGCCCATTCCTCACTGCAACTGCCAGAGCTTAATCCCTGCACCAGGAGTAGCACTACTGGACACGGAGAAGGTCAGGGTAGGGACCCCACCAGTACTCCACACTCACCCCTGTCCTTGCCCTGCAATCCTTTCTCTTTGTGTCCATAACCCCAGAGGCAGGACAGATTTGAAAATCAAACTATCTAGACTTTGCTCAAAAGCAAACAGATCAATCTGAAGAGGGAGAAGTTCACCCTCCTCTTGAAATCAAAACCAAACAATCTAAGGACTGAACTGCCCAGGACGCCCTAACACTGACCCAGGCAAACCTGCCTGCTCTCCTGAGCGGGGAGGAAGGGAAGGCAGCTTGGGAAAAATAAGTGAGTGAAAGCATTCCTTTCCTACTGCAGAGGAACTAGTTGGCTAGGAGCAGGACCTCAGGAAAACAGCCCAAGATAAACGGAGAGAATGGTGTGGGAATTAACCACTGCACTGCTGTCCTGCAAACACACCCTGCCAGCTCTGTTTTCTAGACGTTTTGCAGCACCCCATGCTACAGGAGCTCACCCGAGGGGCTTTGGCTGTAGGATCACGGCCATGAAGAGGGGACAGCGTTTTCCATCTGCATGGGGCAGAGGAAGGTGCCTCCTCCCCACAGCCCTTAACCCAACCCACCTCAACAGACTTGAACACAACAGAAATGCAACACCCAACACCATCACAGAAGACATACTAAGACCTGGACTGATCTCCTGCTTTGTAAACCAGCAATAGCATCTTCAGTAGGAGACAGAGAAGCTCAAGCTGTTTGGAGCACCCTTATCACTGCATTAATGATCACACTGATTAGAAACATCCATCAACTTTCATCTCTAATTAGCACCTTGAAGCTGGCATAGACAGGGCTTGAAAAATAAATCTACACAGAGAAGCTGTGGGGCAGGAACCCATCTCCCCAGGGCATCGCAAGGATCTCTGCTCAGGATGCTCAACACCAAGAGAATTCACATGCAGAAGAATGGAAAGAGCAGAAAACAGTATTTTAAAGAGTGCTTTGGGTGTCCATTCTCAGCATTCAATGTAATTAACTCCTGTGCTTAGAAGAACTAAAAAGCAGCCAGACTTTGAAGTTAACACCTCTTTAAGAGGACAGGGGAAGGGAGTGTTCTTTATTTTCCTGTTGTTACTATTGTTTTACTGGGGTCTGTCTTTAAGTGAGAAAGGGAGAGCTGATGAGTCCTGCTGGGGCTGTACAGAGCAGCTTTTCTACAAGGAAGTTCAGGCTGACAAAAAACAAAGAGAGACAAACTTAAATGTTGGTGAAACTTGGAAGTTTAAGAAACAGATTGTTCTGGTACCCCCATTTTCTGATGGGAAACTGGGATTTAGGCTGCAGGCAGACACAAGAAATGAGAACAGAAAGCTTGTTTCAATACTGGAATAGACTGAGCAGAGGGCAGAGGACCCAGAAAAAAAAAAAAAATCAATTGATGAACACTGTTCTCAAGAATACTAGAGCTTAAACATCGTGAGATGACCTGGAAAAAATACTTGGAGCTATTATTTTTAAATGTCTGAGCTTGCTATTACTAAAGGAAGGCATCTAAGTTCCTGTACGCTATACAGAGAGTGTGTGAGCAGGGAATTTAAGAACTTGGCAATGGGTAAAAGAGAAAATTTGCCAATGGCAACCAAATACCAGCCTCTCTGAGAGGGGAGCAAGACATTATCCACATATGTACCTGGAACAGTAAACAAAAAATGGATTATCACCTTTTTTCCCTCAGGGTAGGGGGATGCAGGGAGAGGGAAGAAAAGGCAAATAAAAAAGGAACTGCCCCTGTGTTCACCAAGGGTAGGTATGTAACACCGTGCCAAAGGGAACAGCAACCAGGCTCCTGTCAACAGTGAGCCAGGACCAAAAGCCAAGAACTGCCACAAGACCTCAGAGCTTCTGGGGCTGAGGCTAAAGCAGAAAGCAAGCCATCCCACAGGCTTCCTTCTCTTTGTTCCCAGTTTAAAGTGTCTGTATCATGTTTGAGTCATTTCAGTCTCAAAAAAAAAACACCAGGAAAAAAAGAGGAGCTGGACTGCAAAGGACTCCATGAAAGCAGAAAAATAATCTGAAAGATTTGGCCTACAAGACAAGGAGAGAATTCAATCTGCAGCTTACAGAAGAGTTGATAAGCGAAGATCTGTCTTGCCATTGCCACAATACCCAAAAAGGGCAGAGGAAAAGCGTGTGTGGGGGGTTTGCTTAAAAAGTAAAATACATCACACCATGAAAAGCCATCAGAATAATGTTGTTCTTCCTTCAAAGCCATGACTTCATGGCCTGATCTGCCCAAGGGAGAAGCTGCAACACTTTGGTGGTAAATGTGCGAGTACAGACTGTGAAGCCTCTTCAGTGACAACGTATCACCAGGTAAAGCTGGAACAGAGCAGGTGAACCTACACATTTAACTCCTTCCAGTGCCAAGAAGCTTAGGAGGACCTGCTCATTCCATAGGAATTAAAATATAAACCACACTAGCTAAGTACCGTCCCTAACAACACCACTTACGCTTGTCCACAGGAATAGGGAAACAATTACCTCTCAACATTAATTAAACAACCATTTGAATGACTTTCCCAAACCATTATTGCCATTAGAGAAATGCAAGCAAAGAGCTCATTTTTAAAACAATCAGAAATGCTGTAAGGAATAGATCATGTTAGAATATTGCACTTAAAAAAAAAAAATATATATATATTTAAAAAAAAGAGAAGAGAATGCCCTTAGGCAGCAAGTTAAGCCATTACCTTTAGTGTGATATATAATAGCAGCCCTCAGGTCAAAAGAACCCCAGCTATCTTTCCTTTCTAGGCCTCTCTGGTACCTCTGTTCTTTGGCGGAGGCTAGCAAATTGTTCGTAGGAGAGGCCAGAGGATTCTCTATTTCATAGTCTTTTGAAAGAAACACTAAAGCACCTTGGCTACCGGTGTCTGCTTTTTGTAGGTCACCCGTGTGATGCGACTCCAAAGCTAAGACACCACCCTCAACAGCAGTCCCAGGCTTAAGAACAGCACTAAGAATTTGAGGGCTAGTCCGTTTTTCCAGCTCATAAGCCTTAGGAAACACAGGTTGTTCAGTTCCTGAGGGAATGATTTCAGCACACTGTGAAACCAAAGTGGCAGGATATTCCCCTTGAAATGTCACTTCCATTAACTTATTATCTGCAGATTTCCCCACAACAGTTTCGGGTCCAGCGCTGGGCTCGTTTATGAAAGACAAGCCCCACTGATTCTGGAAAATATCTCCCAGGTTCTGCTGATTCGTCTGCGATGGGAAATCGACTTGCCCTGTACCCAGAAGCACAGTTTGCATATTTGAAGGGTAGATAAAAAGGCTAGATTTCTTTTGTTCGAGAGCTGTTGAAGTTGTACTGGTGTCCTGGGGTACTGACTCGGAGGAGGTTGATGGTACAGTACTAGCAGCAGTTGAGAGCAGTGGCTGGGTCCCTGGAGAATAGACACTTCCATCAGTCCCTGCTAGAATTGGCCCATTCGAGAAGCTAGCAGAAGTAACAGATTTCATAGCAGACATGGGGACTTGGGACAGACGACTTGATGTTTGGGCCTGAGTTTCCCCAGCAGATGACGAAGATGACGAAGACGACGTGGATGGGGTTTGAGCTGCTTTGTTGAGGTTTTCTTTAACTTTACTTGCATAACTTATTTTGGGAACGATTTTAGCACTGCTATTGTCCACTGGAAAAACTGGGGGTGGTTTAAATAAGGTCCATGAGTCCTCTTTAGATGTAGCTGACGATGCGTGCTTCCCTTTGGGCCGGTCATCAAACTTCTTGCTGCTAATCCCAGGTTTGGCATCAGAGTTTTTTCGCTGTATGTCCCCAAGCCCAGGCTTTCCCCGGCCTGCTCCACTAGCCCCAGCCTCATATTTCCAAACAGGCTTAGTATTTTCAATTCGGTTCCCCTTTTGTTCACTATAATCAGGCTTGAAACTTTCAAGTTCCTGTTTTAAGGTTGGTGCACTAACCTCCTGTTGCATTATTTTGTCCTGGACTAGATTCAAGTTCTCACAACCCTTGGCACTGTTGCGCCTTCCTTTCCGTTTTTTAGGCGTAGTATATCCACTCTCGGAGCCGCTACCATCGTTATCGGCCCCTTTGCCTACGTAGCCATTTGTGATGTAGCTAGAATTATTGGTGACCACACCATTTGGGATAGACACTCCCTCTGGCTTGTCTGAGGATTGGCTTTCTCTAAGTTTATTCTCGTAGGATTTCTCATTCTTTTTGTCCATGCTATTTTTCTGAATGAAGTTCTTAGTTTTGATTCCAGCTTTCCCCAAAGCACTGGTTTTCACAGTCTGCTTTGGGGTCACGTTAGTGTCTACGAGCTGCTGGCTGCCATTGGGTACCCTGGATCCTGGGGTGGTGGTTTCATCAGAGCACAGGCCCTTTAATGACACTTCTCTTTCTCCTGCGTTACCATTTAGCTCTCCGTACCCTAGAAGAAAGCCAAAACCAACAAAAGGCAAGAATTAGAACGTGAAATGTTAAACTTCTGATTGCAGAAAGCTGTAATCAGATCCAAACATATCCAGTTTCCTCAAGCAGACATTTTAAAATAGGAAAACATGTAGTTTCTGCCATAAAAAAAAAAAAAGCACATGCTTATTTGCTGGAAGGCACAGCAAGAAGGGTTAAGCAGAAATTACCAGCAGCTACTGACTCACATATGACAGGGGGTGACATATAGATAACAAAACAAAGCAAAAGTCTATACAGATAGTACGTAAGGAAAATATGCTGTACTAAAGCTCACTGGCAAGCTGGAGAGCTATTTCATCAGCTACTATTTCCAGGTCATACAAGAAGAAAAAAATTAATTCCCAGGATGCTTCAAGACAGAGGGATCTGCTGCCTTTGCTACAAGATGTGTTGCAGTTCAGAATTCATGCTGTGAACAAGGGTCAACTCCTATCACCTCCATCAGCTCCCAGGTCTGCAACACCAGCAGCCCTTCTCCCCACCCTCCTCCCAAACGTCATCTCTAGTAAAGGGGACAAAAAAGAAGCAGCTTTCCGAAAGGACATGTGCAAGTCCAGTTGGAAGGAAGAAAAGGTGACATCTCCTCATTTAATTTCAGGATAACAACAAACACCTCCCCACATGTGCTCTTCAGCATTGAGAAGGTGATAAAACGGGGAAGAAATGCATCCCTGCCAGCACCCTTCCACCGCTGCCAGCAACTGGTCTCCTGCCCACTGAGAAATTTTGGTATTTCAGAGTCCCTGTGAGGACCTGGTACTAGATGGAGACCCAAGAAATAAAGTACTTGCTGAGGGCTCCAACTCACCAAACCCTGAGATTATGCTGTACCCTCAGCTTTCCTGTTTGCTTCTCAAGTTCATTTCTAGGCCTTATGGTTCTGAAGTGAATCTTGAGATTGCAATTCAAGGAGCTGGAAGCCCAGGACAGTTCAGACTGAACCACCTCATCTTCTTCAACTTCCCCCCCCCCCCCCCCCCTCTTCTTTTTTAATGCCCCAAGAGAAGCCTTGAAGCCTCAGTGAGAGATGGGAAGAGCCTGCACAACAAGTACTCTCCAGCTGTGGACAGAGGACAGGGACTCTCTCCTACTGCACCCGCTCCTCCAGGAAGAGCACTATCCTCACTCCTCCTCTGAGTCATCTGCCCTCCTTCCCGAGGGTGAGGGTGGAAAGCCTTACACCTCCCGCAACAACTGACCCACCTAAGGCTTCACCCGCAGCCACGGTGCCACGAAACCAGCACAGCTCACCAAGTCGCCAAAAATGAGAGCGGGCGAAACTCCAGCTTGAAAAAGAATGTTTTTGTTGTTGCTGATGATATCGAGTTAAACTGCTACAGTAAAAATCATTGTGATCCTCACATCCTGGAGCTTCAGATGTCTGGCAGATGTAACTGCTCAAGTTCTGTGCAAGTCGGGAACACAAGAATCCTTGTAGGAATCTTTACAGAAATTCCACAACTGATTTTGCCAAGAGGGATCAAAAAGGATTTTACCATACTCAATTACCTGTAACCACCACAACTTCCACTATAACTTTCAAATACGCTGGTAAGAATATTAACCATAAATACTTCATCCCAGAAAAAACAGACGGGATGAGATTCTCAGCTGAAGCAAGGACTAAAAATTAAGTATTTCAGAATAACGTGCAGAGGAAGCCTTCTCAAGAGTAACATGTTACAGCTGACCTTGTATGACTCAAGACTTCTGCCACCACTTGTTAATGAAACAAAACAATGGAGTGGTCATAAGACCATTGCAGATGAGGAGTGAAAGAATAAAATGAAGAACAAAATCCATTTTAGTAAGTCAGTGTGTCAGCAGTTTCTAGTTCCAATTTTCAAGTATTCACAACTCAGCTGCCTGAATTTTCTCCAGATCAACATTTGTCACAGCTGGTTCTGGCTTGGACACAGAGGTGCAGCAAACAAAATTTAGGGGAGAAAAAAAATAAAATAAAATAAAAGGATGTCAAAATGAACAGGTGAAGAATATTTGTCAACCTCACAAATCATTTCATCGCTGGAAAGGGAGGAGTGAGTGTATATTAAAACCCCGGGCACACTGCAAACGGTGAAATGACTACTCAACTTATTTTTGCTCAGTAACTTATTTTAGCGTATGCCTGGTCAGGTCCCTCCCTACCCCGCCCCAGAGGGGACACGGTGCGTGGCTCTGGGACACTGCCACCCCCACTCCAGATAAGGGCCAGGCCCCTTCCCACCTCGTTATGTAAATGAAAATTTCAATGAAAAAAAAGAAAAAAAGAAGAAAAAAAGAAAAGCACCCGGCGCTCTGGCCGCTCCGGTAACCACGCGCTGGCCTCGCACCCCCCGCAGCTCCCGAATGGGATTTTTTTCCTATTTTTGTCCTAAAGACACAGCACCCGGGCAGCCCCCGGGAGAGGGATGGGG